AACTCCTGACCTTGAGCGACCCACCCACCTTGGCCTCCCAGAGTGCTAGGATTACAGGCGTGAGCCACCGCGCCCGGCCAAGATGATTTAAAGTATATGAGAGGGCGTGCATAGATTATATGCAAATATTACACCATTTTATATGAGGGACTTGAGCATCCATGAATTTGGTTATCTATGGGGGGTCCTGGAACCAATCCCTCATGTATACCAAAGGATGACTGTAATAATAATAATACCTCAGTTATCCTTCACTTATCTAGAAAGAAAAAGTAAAGGAATTATTTTATATTTGGTCTGTAAACATAGAAAACCTGTAGTTTCTTATCTAGTATTTTCTGTTATAATATTTGCTATAATGAGAAATAAGGAAACAATCAAATTAGCCCTTCTTCACCAGTCTGTATTTCCCAGTCTAAATAGCTGCTTGAATAAGGTGGATTCATTGGCTGAATTTGGCTAATGTAGAGGCCAATGGACTAATGAAGATAAGATTAAATAACATGGAGCTCTTCCTTTTAAAAAATTAAAAAATTAGTGTGACTCCATTGAAACATTGTCAGTCATAATGGCTTTTTTCTCTCGAAAGTTTATTAGAAAAATTTCAGACATACAGAAAAATTGAGAAAACTTAACAGTGAATACTTGTGTGTCCACCACATAAATTCTGCCATTAACATTTTACTATACTTGCTTTATCACATACCAACTTACCTATCCATTCTTCTATCCATTATTGATCCTTTTTTTAGCGGAGGATGCATTTCAGGGTAAGTTGAAGACATCATCAATAGATTTTCCTCTAAATACTTAAACATATATATAATTTACTGGAGTTCAATGATCTGTTTACAGTTTTCTTCTTTTGAAGTAAATTTTACACACAATGATCTGCCTGGGTGAACATTGTTGAATTTTACGTGTATTTATTGAATTTTAAGTATATATTTGTTGAATATTGGCAGATGCATGTATCAGTGTAATCCAAATCCCTATGAAGATCTAGAATATTTGTCCAAATATATTTATCTATCCCATCCCTTCTCTCTTCTTCTTCTGGGATTTCAATTACACGTACGTTGGACCTTTTGATATTGTGCTAGGGGTCTCTGAGACTGTCCATTTTTTTCAATCTTTTTTTTCTCTCCATTCTTTAGATTGGGTAATATTGATCTATTTTCAAGTTTATTGTCTCTTTCCTCTGTTATCTTCATTCTACTATTAAGCCTATCTAGTGAATTTTTATTTTAGATATTACATTTTTCAGTTTTAGAGTTTACATTTGGTTCTTTTAAAATAGTTTTTATTTCTATGCTGCAATTTCCTATTTTTACATTATTGCAAGCTTATTTTCTTTTATGTCTTTGAGCTTTAAAATCTTTGCTAATTTCAACATTTAGGTTATCTAGGTTTGAATTCTGTGGATTGCCTTTTTTCTTGAGAATGGATCACATTTTCCTATTTCTTTGTATGTGGAGTAATTTTGGATTGTATTCCGGACATTGTATATTACATCATGGAGACACTAGATTTGATTTTCTCCCTCGCTCCCTTCCTTCCTGCCTTGTAACTTGGTTAACTTATATTACTAATTCTGTGTCTTGGGTGATGGCTCTTGGGTGGTAGTTTATAGGTCAGCCAGATATTTGAGTAGACTTTATTCACAGAATTTAGAACTTTTTCCTTTCCAGGATTCCCATCTTACTTTTCAGCAGCTCTGGTTCCCCCGAACTCTACCCTCTGGTTCTTCTGGCCAGAAGGACTGTGGGTTTTCCATTGAAGCTTTATATACCCTGTGTCATGCCAATTTTGACCAGCACTCAGGCTAAAAGTCATTAAAAATAGATAACTCACTCTGTGTCATTACCTTTTTTCCAAGAGTCAGCTGTACAGAATCTGCACTACTTCTCTTTACCCTTCAGTGCCTCCAGGATTTTTAATTGTTTGTTTTGTTTTATTTTTGGTCTAGAGTTTATTGTTACTTGTAAGAGAGTTGGGTCTGGTAGGAGTGATTTATTTTCTTTTTTTAAGAAAGAAAGATGAACCCAGTGCCTGGCCTACCATCTTGTTTTGCACATATCAATAATGTTTCTCAAAAATAGTTTTAGAAAGTTCTGG